TTAGGTGGAAAAGTTGGAGCTTTTGGGAAAGTCTGTGAAGACAAATGTGGCTGGTCACCCAAAGGGTGGCCCGGATGGGGGAGGTCAGTGGAGAGGCCACGGGCATCTGCTGCTTCTGTGTAGCTGCCACTCTGTGCTTGGGCAGCCAGTGTCTTCTGGGCCCCTGTTCACAAGTGGCCAGAAGTTGGGAAGAAGAGGACGGAGAGTGAGGACACGCAGACACCAGCCTGGGGCGCTGCGACTGCGCCTTGTCTTCTCTGACTGTGAAAACTTTTGTTGAGGACTTGCTTCACTGTTGCCTCCCAGATCTGCAAATCTGGCACAAATTCCTTTTTCTTTCCCCCACTCTATCCAAGAGCCATAGAAGGAAGGGGATTCTGGGAAATGGAACAACCAGCAAAACCAAACTGACACCCGAACAACGCAGCTCAACTCTTAAAATTGTTCCTTCCCCTCCAGTCACCATGTTACTGCACGTCACAAATGCTGATATGCTCACATTATTCTTTTTAAATTCACATCATGATTTATTTTTTTGATGAAAAGGTTATTTAGAATTGTCTTTTTATCTTACAAACGTGTTAATGTTTACGTTTTTGTTGTGAAATTCTAACTTAAATTCTGCCGTGATCAAAGACTGTGCGTCTCAATGATGCCTCTTGTCCAAAAGCCTTTGCAAGCTGCCTGATACATAATTTTTGTAAACACTCCATGTACACTTGGTGAAGAATATTGTTGGAATAATGGTTGGATGTGGAATTCTGTATTTTTCAGTTGGGCCAGTCTTACTGATTATGATGTTCAAAGCTTCTATGTCTTTTTTATTTGTTTGTTTTTGTTTTTGTTTTGTTTGGCCTATTGATAGCAAGATAGAGGGATTGAAATCATCTGTTCTTGGTAAATTAGTTTATTTTCCCCTGTGTGTAAAGTTTTGCTTTATACACTTTGAGACTATTTTATTAGGTTTACAGATGTTTAAAATTATGATAATTGCCTATTTATTCCTTTCATACCTCATGATAAAAGGAATTATGACTATGTATGTGGATAAGAATAAACATTTTTCTCTATTACACATATATGAAAATATATGTATCTGCACGCATACACCTGTAGTCAAATGTGTATCATAGCTAAAGTCTGATTTTGTTTTCCCCAATAAGCACAGTCATTTGTGGGCTACCTGTGGTACCCTGTCTGCACCACAGCCACGCAAAGTCTGTGTCACGGTGCACGTATCGCTGGCTTGGGGCACGCAGGTTCTCACTCTGAGTGCACAGCAGGAAGTGGCAGAAATGGGTTTCTATCTTCAGTCTGTCTGGCTTCAAAGCACTTCAGTAAAATATCTGTTTTTAAAAAAGATAAGAAAGAAATAATTTACATTAGACTGTCCTTTACTGTCTAAATGAAAAACAGTACTAACAACAACAACAACAAAAAGAAAAATGCACACAGAAAAGAATGAAAATACAGATAAGCTGTTGCTGTGTGGAAAAGCATTTAAGAAACAAACGGGTTGTCGCATAATAAATAAAAGTGATGGGTAGTTAATAGGCCTAGCAATTAGGAGCTCTCAAATTACCGGAAAATGCATTGAAAATGAAAGGATAAAATGTTTGAAGAGAGTAATAGGAACCCGTTATCATTACAGTAGATGATACCATGGTAAAAATCTCCTTTTTTAAAGATATTTTAGTATATTTCATTTACTATGCATTATATGGTAATTTTTTAATTTAAAAAAGACATTTTAGTACATTTTAGTAATATTAAAATCATTTTAATACATTTCGTTTAGTTTACATTATATGGTATTTTTTTCCTACAAAGGAAGGGTTAGGATACCTAAAAATAGTTAATTTAGATTAACAATGTTTTTAATGATTTAGTTTGCTTATTTTAAGCTACTCTGTCTTATACTTTGAAGTTTGAAAACTCGACTTAATCAGAAGAGAACAGCCGCGAGGTGTGCCTTTCTGGCTTCAACCGTCTTCCCATCCACTGGGAACAGTGTGGGGAGGGAGGAGAACCCTGTAATCGCAGATCTGAGGGCATCCTGTTATTTCCTTAGCCTTAAGAAAAACGCATGATGCAAATCGCAAGGCTAAGGAAGAACGTAGTTTATAAGCTTATACATTCTCTAATGAATACTCTTCTGTTTTTTCCTTGACACTCTTTTAGAAGATGCTTTTTTGTGGAAAAGTCTATATTAGAACTCCTTCAGTGTTAGAGTTCAAAGGCTGATGCAGACTAAATTGATGGCTGTTCTCTTTCTTGAAGTGTTCCTGTTCTGCAGTGGGCCCAAGGTTTGCAAAGGCTGGGCTCAACAGCCTTGTGAGCAACAGCTGACTGTCTTCAGCCGTTGGCAATCTGGGACCCTGGCTCAGCCTCTGGAGCTGGGGTATGCTGCTGGAAGTCGATGCTCCTCCTCTGGCTTGCAGAATACCTGGCAGCCATTAGGATGGCATTGTGACATCATAGGTCCCCTCCTCCCTAACAGTATATTCAAAATTATAGTTTGCTGTTGCATTGTCAGAATGACATATGAAATCTTGGACCCTAAAAGCTTGTGCTTTTTGTTGTTGTTGTTCTCATTTTAAAAGAAATTAAAACTTTTTTGTTGGTTCCTAAGAGGATTATGGGATCCAGGAATTGTGCTTACTGTGACTAATAGAGAAGTCACCCTGTAGTCCAGAAAAGTCACTTCTGAGTGATCTAAAAAGAGAGAGAGAGAATAGAGAGATTCCAATATATTAAACCAAAACCAGTATCAAGTCTTAAATACTGTGCCCATCAAGATAAGACATTGAGTCTTTGTCTTGTTTACAGATAGATCTTTTCAGAGAGAAGTGCAGCAAAAGCTCCCACAGGTCATTCTGTTTGTCCCCAGCAGCCTAGGAAGACTACATCACGACCTTTTTTGTTCCTTTAGCTACTGATTTTCACTTCAGTTATGCATATTTTTGCACTGATTTTCAGTCTTTCTGGGGAAATAAGAGCCAATAAAGTCAATGATTATTTCTCTCCTGCTGGAGTAATGAAAAGCATGAACAGTCATACTAGGAAAACAGCTTTCCTGGTTATTTACTGATTAGTTTTGTGTCCTCAACTCATTGAAGTTCATTTGATGAGGTTTCAATTAAATCAGTTTTCGTGGCTTCATGTGTGTAGCCATCGTAACCTCCAATCTGATGTCTTCTGTGACGGGCTCTCATGTCCCATGCGTGCATTTCTTTGTGATGTCTGAGTGCCGGGGAGTGCGTGCAGCCTGGTGGGAATCTCATAGCCCTTTGCAATAATTGTAAACTATGTCTGAGGGTTAAGAGTAATAACGCAGGCACTTAATCGTGGATAAAAATAGCAATGGAGAGAGAGAACATCTCATTTGATCCTCCTGTTTTCTGCCAGTTCTGGAAACACACGTTCTTTGGCCACAGCAAGGGCTGGCTCCACTCACTTGAGCTCTCTGTCTGCTGCGTGGCCATAAACCCCACAGGTGGTCCTGAGCTGGAGACCTGGGCAGCCCCTGACAGCCCTTCCCCGGGCCTCAGTTTTCTCAGCTATAGAATGGTGCTAATGCTAATACCTCCTCTGCAGCCCCCAGGTGGTTGTAAGAATTAAAGAGGTTTGTATATGCAAGAGAGCTTAGCACAAAAAAATGGTGCTATTAGCATTTACTACTCTTGTTACCATTGCCTGTTTCTCAGACATCATTTAACACACATATGATTGTGAAAGAGAAAGGGAAATGCTGAAGTTGGGAGGGCCTGGGTGCCAGTTCTTTCTCCTCGATGGTAGCCTGGACTCAGTGTGGGATTTTGCTGGATCTGCTCCCTGTGGTTAGTTGCCTGGTGTTTCAATGGACCCGTCTCCAATGTGAAGTTAGAGCAGCTACCTGGACGAAGTGAACCCTGTACCCATCGGTAATGGTTAGGCATCCAAGGCACTAGTATTTGAAAGATGCTTGCTTCATAAGTCCCAGATTTTACTGTTACCTTTAATATTCCAAAACCTCAATGGAAGTTTTTATGGTCCCAGCCATGTGGCTTTTTTGATTGAAATGCCTATGGATGTTTCAGTAACTAAACACATTTGGGTTAAAGACCTCAAACTGTGTTTCCTCCAGTAGTAAAAGCTGTCCCTAGCAAGGTTCCAGGGTAATGTTTGGTAGACACTAAAGCCTAAATCTATGCTTGTGCAATCAAAGAAACATATCTATTGTATGGTGGAGAAATTACGTAGAATTGAAATAGTGTGCTTTTTTGTGGCTAGAAAGAGATAAATACAAAACGAGTATTTGTGTGCCAAAATAAATTTTTAAAAATGCATTAGCAAGAGCTAATAATAAATGCCCATTTTCCTTTTGTTATTGGAGCCCACGAGAGGTGGAGGAAGGAAAATAGCAAACGTGGCACACGCTTCTGATGGTTCCCGCTCTATCTCCTTCCGTATGCAGCGCTTTCCGACCCTGTTCTGTTAACCTATGATCCTCTTAAAACATTAATTGCCATGCATTAAAATAAAAGCTCATCACTCTAAAGACTGAGATAATTAAAATTTTTTTAAAAAATAAAACATTTCAAATCCATTTGGAAGACCTAATTTTCTAAGGCCAGGCTTATTTCTGATCCTCCGATGCAGACGGTGAAGCTGGTTGTCTTACTTTCTCCTGGCACTAATGTGTTCTTGCACTTCCTTTCTTGTATTCACTTCTGAATAAAATCCATTTCTCCATTTATCAAGGAAAATGTAAATTTGATAGTATAGCTGTTTTGCCTTAATTTAAATACCCAATATTGGATTATCTCTTTAGGAAAAAAAAATTTATTTAATATGAAACTTAAATTTTTAAAAGTTCAAACTGTTCTACTTGTAAAATCATTTTTAAACCCAATATATTTTGACATTGACTAATGTGGATAACATTTTAAAAACATAAATCATGGATATCACAGTGTCTCTAAATTGTAACTTTTCCATATATTCTTTCCTCTCCGCAGGAAGTTGAAGACCATGTGGCGTTTTTAATAACAGTTCCAACGGCCCTGGCGATTTTCTTTGCGATATTTATCCTCGTCTGCATCGAGTCTGTTTTCAAGAAGCTGCTGCGCCTCTTCTCTTTGGTGATATGGATCTGTCTCGTGGCCATGGCCTACTTGTTCATGTGCTTTGGAGGCACCATCTCTGCTTGGGACCAGGTAAGTGTTAACATTTCTTTTTATATTTCCTATATGTGCCTTGATTTGTGACATACTTAGTTCTGTGAACATCTTTGGCCCTAAATTATAAAGAGGAGACCTATAACTGAGAACAAAGTATTTAAAAAATTTTTCTCTTTTTAAAATTTGTCTGTTTTTAATTGACAAATAATAATTGTATATATGGGGTACAATATATATGTATATGTGCATGTGTATATGTGTATATATGTATGTACTGTATATATATGTGTATATGTGTTTATATGTACACATATATATATGTCTAATATAAGAGTAAATCAAGCTAATTAACATATCCAACACCTCATCTATTTATTTATTTTTGGGGGTGAGAAGGTTTAAAATCTACTCTTTTAGCAAGTTTGAAACATAAAATACATAATTATTCAATATGGTCAGCATGTTGTGCAGTAGTTCACTAAATCTCATTTATCCTGTCTAACTGAAAGTGAAATGGACCAGACACAGAGAACGGTCTTTTGAAATAGTGTCTTCACCTGATGGTCATTCCATACCCATCTTAACTAATCAATCCTGCTGCAGCCAGGGCCTTGGCTAAGGTCTCATGCTGTCGCTTGTTTGGGAAACTGAGCTTCCGTTTGGTCTAGGGTCTTGGTTTATGTCTCACACCACAGTTTTGGCGACTCAGTTCTCCTGTTCCCTGAGTACCTGGCTAGGTTTTCTATTATCCTCGATTCTCTCTGGGATCAGAGTCTTCCCATGTTCCTCCAACTCTGCAAGACTGGCGGTTGCCCTTAAATTCTTCCTCTATTACTAGAGCCCTCCTACTTACAGACAGACTTCTGCAACACTGATTTGCTCTCCACACGATCAGATCCTATCAAGAGGATTGCTTCGTATACCTGTTGGGAAAACTACATTGATTCATTTTGCACCTGGTGAGGCTCTCGTGGTATCACATCTTTAGGACAGTGTAGTCTTACTAAGTTACTAATAGGTTTTTCCACAATGCTGCTGCCGCGTGGGTGGTTCTTCCCAGTGTACCCATCTGACAGTTTGATTAAACGGTGTCCTGGCCAGGGACAAGCCTGGGCTGGAGATACAGATACGTGAGCTATTAGCTTAGAACTTGTCGTCCAAGCTGCGGGGGTTTGAAGCCATCCAGGGAGAGAGTGAATTGAGCAGCTGACGGGGCTGTCACAGGGTTGGTGGGGACGTCAAGGCCATAGGAGAGGAAATAGGATCCAGAGAGATGGGAAGAAGAGCTCGAGTAGAGGAGACTTGCTGTAGAGGCTCAGGGAGCAGACAGGTGTCGGATGGGCTCAAATGCCATGGCAAGGAACGGAATGTAACTGGTGTGCCTTGTCTGAAAAGAGCCCAAAGATGAGATTTCTAGTGGGTTCTGTCATCAGGTGGTCCTGTGACCTCTGCCAAGCCATTATCCTCTCTGGGCCTCAGATTCTTTTGCAAAGGGAGAAGGCTGGACTCAGTGAACTCAAGTTACTCTGTCTGGCTCTGAGATGATGCATTCAGAGGGACACAAGAATTGGTGGATGGCTGCATCTTGCCTTCGTCTCTCTCCCACGAAGGCCCCTGGGAGGGCTGGGCACAAGTGCCCCTGCTCCGGCCAGCCCCTTCCTGCCTCAGCTCCTGCCTCTTTCCTTTGCACCCTGAGCTCCTGTCCACCCTCCCCTGCTGCCTGCAGTGCCCTTCTGCCTGCACGGCCCGCACGCTGGCACCTGGTGAGGAGCATGCTCGTCTGTGGCCTGGACTGGTGGTCTCCGCTTGCACCGAGGCCACCTTGTTTTAGCAATACAGGTTTATAGGAAGACTTACTGACCAAAGGCCATGTATTCCCTCCTTGTTCAGCATTTTCTTAGCTTACTTTCCTTATGAATTACAGAATCAATTTGTCACGGGCAATGAAAAGTCCACTTGGGTTCTGGATTTAAATTATATTGAATTTCTAAATTTTTGCTTAGAAAGATATTTAAACCCTAAGAATGAATAAAAGGATGCTGTAAAAAAAAAATCCAGAAATTTGCTATCTTTCTGTGTTGAGTCTTTCTGTGGAAAGACATCGCATGTCTCTCCAAGAATTCTGGTTCTCTTTTATGTCTTTCAAAGAATTTTTTTTTCCTTCATAAAATCGGTAGTAATTTTCCTTAGACCTAATCTTAGGTGCTTGAAATTTTTTGCAGGATTTTTAAAATTACCTTTTCTAATGGATCAATGTTGATGCATAAGAATATGTTGCTTTTATGTTGCTCTGTATACTGCCATCTTGGTGGGCTCTTCTGAGTTCTGTTAGTTTAGCTGAGAGTCTCGGTTTATTTGTATGGATAGTGTGGTCTTCTGCAGAGAGTTAGAATTTTCTTTCTCCCTGTCAAACCCTTAATTTACTCTGTTCTTAGATAGTATATTGTTTAACTGTATTAGCCAGAACTTCTAATGCAGGGGTGAGTGGTAGAGTGTGAACGGCATCATGCTATTTAACTTAGTTGGGACACCTAAGATTCTACCAGTAATGTAATGTTTGCTTTATCATTATTATTATTTTTAGTGGAACTGGTTAATCAGGATAAGGTCCTTCTGTCTCTCTGCAGTGTCCTTCTTCCCCAGGTTGTAAACCCTTAGCACAGCCTTCCCAGGCCTCCTATGCCTCCTGGTCGGGCGACGTCATCACTGTGCTTGAGATTTTCCGTAGAACTTCAGGCGATGGTAGCACCTCGAGTCATAGTACACACCCCCTCTTGTTCATCAGTTGCCTCTCCCGCTGGAGCACAGACTTCCAGGCAGGGATGTGACTGTCTTTTCCGTGTCCCATCCTGGCCTCTAGGAGACTGCTGTCCCACTGCTGGCAGCCTGCACCTCCTACTTCAATGTGCTCATTATTGGACGACTGTACTTCTTCATCTCCGGGTGTGCTGTTGTTTGTTGTTCATCTCCACCTCTCCCTTTTTGCCTATTTTTGGTTTTATACCATGCATTTTGGTTTTGATGCTGTCCATCTGCTTTTAAACGTCTCTTGATGTATCTTAAACATGCTTATTTCATAGTGATTTTGCTTCTGTTTCTCAAGACTGATTTCTCTTAGGTGTTGAATTTCTTGGCCAACTTCCTTCATATTCATTCTCCCTGTGTACCTTGATGTTTTTGTTGTCAAGCTCATCTTGAATTGGAATTGTTTTTAACCTCTGCCCCCACAGGTGTGCTCAGCCATCCTGTGGTTTCTTTCTCATGCTGCTGGGCCCTGGGTGGAACTAGTGTACATGTGGGACTCAGCCTGGCTGCCCCATGTGACATTGCAGGTTAGGTGACCAGCCCAGCCTGTGGCCTGGGGATGTTCCCAGGAGGAGCACAGCTGTGTCTCCTTGTTCCTCTCACCTCGGACATGATGCTTGGAAAAGACCACAGCCAGGCTCCGTGGTTGCAGCTATTTTTGGCCACTATTCCTGAGCTGGGAGATTTGGCACAGTGTCTGCTTCATGCTGTGGGCCTGCTCACACCCTCGCCGGAAGGGGGACACCGGGAGCCCTATTCCTCTACTGGAGTTTGAGATGCTGCCCAACACTCCTAGCTGCTCCTGTCTATTCCATGGGAACAGGGATTTACAATGAAGTTATTGTGCCATATTAAGCAAATGTCTGCCACTTGGTATCTTTTAATGTAGGCACCACAGATGTAGGCCCCTTGATGACCTCCAGAGATGTTACCATAGGTTCACCGTCCTTAAGAAAGTGGGCTACTTTCAATATCCTTTGGAATATGATAGCTCCCAATTGAAGATGGTTAAATTAAAATATCATCATACAATGGTGCAGGAGTGAGCCAGCTGCACGTTAGAGAGAACAGTCCACATGAAACCACCCTCACTGCTGATACCAGTGGCAAGTTCGGGGGTTCCCGAGACTTATCCCTGAGGTTGGATGATTTTCTGGAAGTACTCACAGACTTATGAAAGCTGTCATAACTATGATTATGGGTTGTTGTACGGGAAGAGTACAACAGCCAAGGGAAGAGTCCAGGAAGAGTACCAGAGGTGGAACTCCTGTTGTCCTCTCTCTGTGGCGTCACAGCACTGCTGTCCCGCAGTGATGTGTGAGAATGATCATGGAGAATCGCCTACTGCAGAAGCTCAGCTGCGCCTTCGATGGCCGGAGATTTTGCTGGGACTCCATTGCATCCTGCCTGCATGGCTGACCTTTAGTCTCTAGGCTTTTGGAGGTAAGGTTGACATTTTAATTCTCCAGGCCCTCTGGAGGCAGCACTGATAGCCCCCATTATAAATCCATTTAGATTGTTCAGTGGCCAAAGCCCCTAGACAAATAAAGACACTCTAGTTAGGCAGGACATTCCAAGGCCTAGCTCACCTCTCGGCAGCTGACGGCAAGGCGAGACCTCCCATAAAGTCAAGTCTTTACTGCACAGTGGCTTGAGTGTAGCTCGTAGTCTTCGCCGTCTCCAGTGTAGAACACCGGGGATAGACGGCAGCACGTGTCTGGTCTGGGCCCCGTGCGAGGCTCCGTTCTGAGTGCTTTCCCCGCATAACCTTGTTTATTGCCTGCATTCCTCCATGTGCTGGGCACCATCCACCCAGAAGGTGGACACTGTGCAGAAGCAATGTGCAAGGAACAGAGGCACAGGAAGGTGGGGTACCCTGCTCTCAGCCCAGCTGTCGGAGCGTCAGAGACCTGAGCCCAAGGGGTCTGCCTCTAGATGCCCGCTCTTGCTCATGAGACCCGTGGTTCTCAACTGGGAGCCGTTTCGCCCCCAGGGGATGTTGGGCCCCATCTGGAAACAACTTTGATTTGTCACAGGTTGGATGGGTGTGGGAAAGTGTCACCTAGTGGGCAGAAGCCAAGGATGCTGCTAAATATCCTACAATGCAGAGGACAGCCCCCACCGCAAGGATGACCCAGCCCTACGTGTCAGGAGTACTGAGTCTGAGAAACCCTCTATTACACAGCACTGCTCCTCAGCGATGATGTTTAAATAACCGACTCTTAAACCTG